CCCGTGTAACCAATGAAAGGCCCGGACACAAACCCAACACGTTGAGCATCATCCCAACTGACGTGTCCACAGGTTTTTCCCTTGTCCACTTGGCTGAAGTCTATTGAAACACGCAGCAATCAGCCAGCAGAGCGGGAACATGCTCGGATCTGCTAGCACGTTACGGCACCGTCTCAAGAATCGATCCGTCCTGTAAACAATCACAGCTGACTGCGCTAACTTGGGATGATATGTTTGTGAACGTGCACATGCGCACTAACCACTCGGTGTACGCGTATCTGTGATAGAGACAAACAGAAAACAGAGATGGAAGGCAGAGAACGTCACAGAAGGCAGGTGTGTGGGCAGAGAGAGAGAGAGAGAGAGAGAGAGAGAGAGAGAGAGAGAGAGAGAGAAAAGCGGCGACAGGGAGAGTAATAGAGAGACACAGAAAGACAGAGAAGAGAGGCAGAGAGAAAATCCACAGACAAACAAAGGCTAGAAATAGAAAAAAAGAGAATAAGACAAAAAGACTGGATGATTTAACTGAACTGCAACAACAATTTGAGGTGATGGGCTGCTGTGTAAATAAAATGGAAGAAAGACAAGCAAACAAATGAAACCAAACTAGCCTATCACCAGGAACAGGTGCCACCGATAAATCAATCCAAACAGCGCCCAGGTCCTCGGCTGAAGTTACATGCCATTTCCACTTGTTGACATTCTTATCTTTTTCTTATTTTGTAAATATCTACTTATGCCGCTCGGCATCACAGTTCATCAGACGATCGGCAGCCGAGCCAAGGCGCTTGATATGCTCTGATGTTATGCAGTCTCAAGGTGTCAGTGACCCCTTCTGTCCATCTTCTTCTCGGTCGTTCCCTGCTCTTAATGTTTTGATTTTTAGGTTTCTTTCTGCTGGCATCGTTGGTTTCGTTCTCATAAGATGGCCAAACTATTTCCTTCTTTGTTTCTCAATATATTTGACAATGGGTTTTGTTGCAACAGTTCTTGTGATCACGTTGTTTCTCATCCGATCTCTTCCGGTTTTATTCACAGCCATTCTCAAACATCTCATCTAACGTGTGGTTAGATTTCTCCCGTGTTTTTTAAATGTCCAAGTCTGACATTGGTAAAATTTAGTTTCAATAGCCGTTTTTTTTTTTTTTTAACTTTTAAATCCACTGCCGATTTGCTGGACCTGCCGTAGTTTCACCCTTAAAAAAGAAAACTGAAATTCTCAGCTTCTGGGAAATAAGTTCACCAAACTACTCTAGTTGAATTTGGCTCAACTTCTACGCAAGAAACTGGCTTTGGCTTGTTGGAAACGAATTCCATCCAAGTATGAAACAAGTTAATTTCTGAATACTGAATACTTTGCAACTAACGTCCTCCATATCGAAAGGACATCAGTTCATCTTCGGCTCACTTATTTGAGAGCCGCTCCGTTTCTAATGGTATAAATCTATATTATACTACAAATGTATCAGAGCTACTGTTAAGGCAAACGGTGGAAACACAAACATTTTTTTTACCAATAAAAGACAGAATGCGGGGCCAAAAAAAGGGGGAGGGGGTTGGAGGGTCCTTAAAAGTGAGTACCGCAGTGTTTTCTGTCGGTTCGGCATTTACTGTTTTATTGTGAAAGCATTGGAGGATTTGCGATTAACATTTGAGAAATTCTAAGACAGATACTATAGTCGTTTATAGTCGTTATCTATCCTGGTAGCAAAAGAAGCTAGTGGGTGCCACTTGTCACTGCCATCTGTCACTGCTGACAGCCATTCATAGAACAAATAAAACAGGCGACTGCTCGTCCGTGTCCTTGATCAGAAGAAGGAACCATGCAGATCCATGACACCTCAGTACTGCCTGTCATCTAGCTGGCTTGCTCGTTCTGCGTGTTTTGCAGAGCAGTGATGGTGCAGTGGTCTGGGCCGAGCCTGCCACGTCTGTGGGTTTGGGTCATAGCGGAAGAGAGTTTGAAGCCAGAGTACGACTGTGTGGCCAGCAGAGCCAGATCATATTGGCTCTGTGGTTGTGGAGAAGTGAACCTGACTGTGGCAATACTTGAGTCTATGTCTGAATGTCGATCGTGCACCTCACACAGTAACGTCAACTGAGCTCATGGCAAGCCAATTAGCCCAACTCTAGCTGACTCCGTGTATCAAGGCTATAGAGAGCCACTGGCACACAAACAGCACCTTGTCCTGAAAGCTGACCTATTGCCCTTATTCTGAACGTCATTGTGGTCTGGAAACAACGGGGAAAGGGGGTCGGCATAGGGTGGGAGGGGTTGGAAAAGGAGAGGAAGGGGGGATACAGTTTCACGAAAACGAGGCAGAGGCCGACCTCCGCGATGATGGATGCAGGACACTCAAGATGCAAGCGCTATGAAAGCATACAGAGCTGGAAAACTGACTACAGAAAGAGACTTTGAGGCTTGCCGTGACGAAAGCGACGTTCTGGAGAGGACCAGGCGATTGATGTATCACAGATATAATAAATACTTATTGTTGGGTCAGTTGTAAAGTTTATCATGTGTTTTATAGCTTTTTATAACAAATACTTTGTCGGTTATCAGGAAACTTTTATTGGGGGGGGGGGGGGGGGGATAGTTGCTATGACCTCTCACTGTACAGTTCTAGTAGTCTTCCTTTATAACCAGCCTCAAACATGTCTGTCTTCGTGGCGCTGATGCCTCATGGTCAAGCCATCCGTGTAAATATTTATTTGTCTCAACTGTCCCCAGCAGGTCTGCAAATCTCTCCTCATTACTACGATCATATCATTGACTATATTATCGAGTGCAGCATGCAGTCACAATCACTGAGCTGCCTAAGTTTCTGAAATCAGCCCCCCTCCCCTCACCCTCAAAACACAAAACCCACCTGCAGGTTCCAACAATTAACTAAAGGTGTCAACAAACACTACAACTAGCACATCCTGTGTGGGACACCCCAGTCCAGCTGATGTTGCAGCTGCAGCACAAGTTAAACCAAGCTAGCAAGCCCCATGCCCTGAGCTCAAATAAAAAATACAAATACAAAACACTAGACACCAGGAGAACTTGCAACAGAGCCGGCTAGATATCAAAAACAATGGATGGAGAAAGAGCTATCTTCAGAAATGTGTTGGATATATTACCATGTACTGCTTCCTGCATCTCTCGTGCTTCTGGTTCAATATAAAGTAGAGGCAAATCATACATGTCATCATGTCTGTATAGTGAGCAATGTCTTTCAGCTAGTGATAATGTGATTCAGGCTTCTCTCTCTCTCTCTCTCTCTCTCTCTCTCTCTCTCTCTCTCTCTCTCTCTCTCTCCCCGTGTCTCCCTCTGTCTATCTCTCTCTCTCTCTCTTCGTCTTTCTCTCACACTGGCTCTCTCTCTCTCTCTCTCTCTCTCTCTCTCGCACTGCCTTATTCACCCCTCGTTACCCAACTTGTAGGTGCGTGTCGTGTTGTCCCTAACAGTGTATATATCTTCAGTTTTCAGTCCAAAAGCTTTCCTGTTTACGTTCGTGCATTCTTCTTCTTTTTATTTTCTTCTTCTTCTTCTTCTTCTTCTTCTTCTTCTTCTTCTTCTTCTTCTTCTTCTTCTTCTTCTTCTTCCCCTTGACCATCTGTGGAAAGCAATACTTGGAGAGCCCTGTTGTCCCAATCCTTAGCTGTATAAGTGCTAGCTGTACACTGTCAACAACAACATCCGGTGAACGACCCAGATCCTGGTCACTGCCGCCAGTCTATACTGTCACGTGAGGTTTGTATATCATGTCAGAAAGCTCTCAGTTCTGGTCACTGCCGCCAGTCTATACTGTCACGTGAGGTTTGTATATCATGTCAGAAAGCTCTCAGTCCTGGTCACTGCCGCCAGTCTATACTGTCACGTGAGGTTTGTATATCATGTCAGAAAGCTCTCAGTTCTGGTCACTGCCTAACAATATCTTCACTGTGTAGGGAAACCAGCTCTGGAGACAGTCTCTCGTGGCTAGTGCATGGCACCCTCCTCGACAAGAATGGCTTCAATGGCAGGGCTATAGACACACACAACACAACGGAACAAGGAGTAGAAAGCTCCCAAAATGACTTTCTACTGACATTTAAAGACAATTCAGCTGCACAAAAACGATATTTCAAATGGCCCATGACAATCGCAGCCCGTAGGGATCTTTGAGAACATGGGGAAACCGGGTCCATGTGGGATCAATGCCAGCGACGGCACGCTGCAACAAAGGAAACCTGTATTCACTTCGTGCCAACTGTGCCCCGACAAACACCCCATGAATGTACATCGATCTGCCGGCACAGTCCGTGAACACAACCGGCGCCGATTAACTGTGAGCCCGGCACGGTCCGTGAACACAACAGGCGCCGATCGGCGGCGCACGATCAGCGAACACAACAGGCGCCGATCCGGTGAGGCCAGTGAACACAACAACGGCGGTGAGCCCGCGGTGAACACAACAGCGGTGAGCCCGGCACGATCAGTGAACACAACAGGCGCAGATCAGCGGTAAGCAGCTTGTCGGAATGATGCAATCTGCATTATCTTCTCTTGTCGCCCATCCTTCAAGAAAAACACAGGGCATGATCAATTTCTGACAGGCCTAGTCAGAATTCAAATTATAAATTAGTTATCTGACGAATGTTAGCAGCTGAAGTCTGGACCTGTTTCTTCTTAGGTGAATGCTCAGTGGTGAAAAAAAGGGAGATACCAATTACTCAAGACAGAGAGGGGCGAAATGTTTCCTGTCACATGGACTCCCCCATACCAGGTACCAGACAGGCACAAAGACGTTGATCTGGAAGCCACAGACCTGTGACAGGTCTGCACCGATTGTGTCTAGGGACTTTTCCGCTTCCCGACATTACACAAAAGTGGTTAGACAGGAGTATTATTAGAGCACTCCGGACATACCTACACGTTGCTCCATCTCCTTCTCATTAGCATCAGAAGTGTTACCACTACTGATGACGCCCGTTTTAAACAGATACAAATAAAGTCGGGTCATTGACCTACCTGCTGTGACCTCATCGGCCTCTCGCAGCAAGACCAGGGCCCGGCCGATCAGGCCCACCTCGGTGCAGGCGTGAAGGTTGCGTCTGCTTTTCTTTAACATGGCGATGAAGACGCTCCAGATTTCGGCCTGGTCAGGAGGAATTCAAATAATCAATAGTACGTATGGACAGATCCACTGTGTGAACAAACAATCAATAGTACACATGGACAGATCCACTGTGGGAACAAACAATCAATAGTACACATGGACAGATCCACTGTGGGAACAAACAATCAATAGTACACATGGACAGATCCACTGTGGGAACAAACAATCAATAGTACGTATGGACAGATCCACTTTGGGAACAAACAATCAATAGTACACATGGACAGATCCACTGTGGGAACAAACAATCAATAGTACACATTGACAGATCCACTGTGGGAACAAACAATCAATAGTACACATGGACAGATCCACTGTGGGAACAAACAATCAATAGTACACATTGACAGATCCACTGTGGGAACAAACAATCAATAGTACACATGGACAGATCCACTGTGGGAACAAACAATCAATAGTACACATGGACAGATCCACTGTGGGAACAAACAATCAATAGCACGCATGGACAGATCCACTGTGGGAACAAACAATCAACAGTACACATGGACAGATCCACTGTGGGAACAAACAATCAATAGTACACATGGACAGATCCACTGTGGGAACAAACAATCAATAGTACACATTGACAGATCCACTGTGGGAACAAACAATCAATAGCACGCATGGACAGATCCACTGTGGGAACAAACAATCAATTGTACACATGGACAGATCCACTGTGGGAACAAACAATCAATAGCACGCATGGACAGATCTACTGTGGGAACAAACAATCAATAGTACACATGGACAGATCCACTGTGGGAACAACAATCAATAGTGGGAACAATCAATTGTACACATGGACAGATCCACTGTGGGAACAAACAATCAATAGTACGCATGGACAGATCTACTGTGGGAACAAACAATCAATAGCACGCATGGACAGATCCACTGTGGGAACAAACAATCATTAGTACACATGGACAGATCCACTGTGGGAACAAACAATCAATAGTACACATGGACAGATCCACTGTGGGAACAAACAATCAATAGTACACATGGACAGATCTACTGTGGGAACAAACAATCAATAGTACACATGGACAGATCCACTGTGGGAACAAACAATCAATAGTACACATGGACAGATCCACTGTGGGATCAAACAATCAATAGCACGCGTGGACAGATCTACTGAGGGAACAAACAATCAATTGTACACATTGACAGATCCACTGTGGGAACAAACAATCAATTGTACATATAGACAGATTCACTGTGGGAATGAACATCAACAATCATGTATACATCATCATCGTCTATAGGAATACCTACAACCATGGTTTGTTCTGTCAGTAGCCAACTGTTGGCAGTACCGTCTCATTTACAGACAGCAATTTTTAGGGATTCTGTAATAAAATTTTCTGGTGAATACTGGCACCATTTTTATTGCAATTCCTGGTGGGTACCTGCACACTTTTTATAGTACCAAAAAAAACAAAAACACTATTCCTGCAGGCAAACAGTAGCTGATAAAAAATAAGCTCAGCTTTTGGAATGCAAACAATAAATTGCGCCTTCATACACATCAGCACTGGCAAGAACGATTGCCTCACCTAGGCAGAGATCCGAGTTTAATCCTCACCGGGAACCGCCTCCCTCTCTGGTAGGGTTCTGAGGGTCGATCCTACGGGTCTCCATTGGTTACACTAACAGCATCTTTATTTATCACAATAATCGTGTGAATAACAGCACCCCTGCTCTGTTGTATATCTGTAATCCACTCAATCCTCCACCCACCCACCAACCACACATGCATACACACACAGAGAGAGACAAGCAGGCAGATACAGGCAGGCACGCAGGCGCACACACACACACATACATACAGACTGAAGGATGGCACACAGACAGACCAACAAATAACAAATAGACGGACAAACCAGCACAGCGACTGCAACGATCAAGAACCGATACAAGTAGCTCACAAGAAGCTCCTTAACGGCTGCCCAGACCAACAAACAAATAGTCGGACAAACCAACACAAGGACCGATACAAGCAGCTCACAAGAAGCTCCTTAACGTCTGCCCAGACCAACAGACGACAAGGTTGACAAGGAAAGAGACAATAGATGGCAATGCAGATATCGTCTAGACATGCAAATCGTTTGTAGAACATTCTAATAATGAGATAAAATGCCCCATATTACCTCGTTTACAGGGGGCATCTCTCAAAATAAAAGATATCCAATACAGAGTAGCAATTTTATCAACAATAATGAACTCTGTATGTCGCCCTGTTCTTCTGCATCGTCCGTGTTTTCCCCTTCTAATTTCCTTGGCTGTAGTAATGCCCGCACGACACCTGGTTGCTGTTGATCGTTGTATATTTCGTAGGTGGCTGAGACTGACATCGAGCGCCTTAAACAGTTCTCTACTATTGATGGCGACATTGTTGTGTGTGTTGTTCACATCGAGTCGCACATCACTTGAAGCAAAGCAGCGGTTTCTCTACCTGCATTGAGGGCGACATTTTTGTAAAGTGTCGTGCATTAAAGGGTCATCACAACACGAAACTGTATTTCAACACGTGGTAAGGGTCATCACACAAGACTGTATTAACGGGTCGCCACAACACGAAACTGCATTAAATTTTCGGGTTAAGCATTAAAGGGTTATCACAACACCAGAAAACACGGGTCGCCACAACACGAGGAACGCATTTAAAAACTGTATTAAAGGGTTGTATGGTCATCACAACACCAGAAACTGTATTAAAGGGTCGCCACAACACAAGGAACTGCATTAAAGGGTCATCACAACACCAGAAACTGTATTAACGGGTCGCCACAACACGAGGAACTGCATTAAAGGGTCATCACAACACCAGAAACTGTATTAAAGGGTCGCCACAACACAAGGAACTGCATTAAAGGGTCATCACAACACCAGAAACTGTATTGCCACAACATGAGGAAACTGAATTAAAGGAACTGCATTAAAGGGTCGCCACAACAGGAGGAACTGCATTAAAGGGTCATCACAACACCAGAAAACTGTTAAAGGGTCGCCACAAACGCATGCATTAAAGGTCATCACAACACCAGTAGGTCGAGAACATGAGGAACTGCAGTTTTAGTACCAAGTAGTGTATTAGGGTGGCACCCGATGTTGGAAATAAATGTGGACGAGCTGGATCCGATACGGCAACACATGTACAGTGTACAGTAACAGGTAGCAAGGATTGTCAACAAATGTAGCCTACAGTAACAGGTAGCAAGGATTGGCAACAAATGTAGCCTACAGTAACAGGTAGCAAGGATTGGCAACAAATGTAGCCTACAGTAACAGGTAGCAAGGATTGGCAACAAATGTAGCCTACAGTAGGACAACAATGTAGCCTACAGTAACAGGTACCAAGGATTGGCAACACATGTAGCCTACAGTAACAGCTAGCAAGGAGGATTCGCAACAGCTAGAATAGAGTGGACTTGGGCGATAGTACTTATATCATGTGACGTCACGCAGCTTTTACTGAAGTACTTATATCATGTGACGAGACGCAGCTATTACAGAAATACTTATATCATGTGACGAGACGCAGCTATTACAGAAATACTTATATCATGTGACGAGACGCAGCTATTACAGAAATACTTATATCATGTGACGAGACGCAGCTATTACAGAAGTACTTATATCATGTGACGAGACGCAGCTATTACAGAAACAACTACGTCAAACGACATGACACAGCTACTACTGAAAAACCATGACAGATGACGTGAAGTCGCTACTACAAAAACACCCACATCATACATCAGGGGACATGACGCAGCTACTGCAGAAATACGTACATCAGGGGACGTGACACAGCTACTACAGAAATACGTACATCAGGGGACGTGACACAGCTACTACAGAAACACCCACATCAGGGGACGTGACACAGCTACTACAGAAATACGTACATCAGAGGACATGACACAGCTACTACAGCAACACCCACATCAGGGGACGTGACACAGCTACTACAGCAACACCCACATCAGGGGACGTGACACAGCTACTACAGCAACACCCACATCAGGGGACGTGACACAGCTACTACAGCACATGACACAACCCCACATCAGGGGGTGACACGTGACACATCAGAGGCGTACTACAGCAACACCCACATCAGGGGACGTGACACAGCAACACCCATATCAGAGGATGTGACGAAGCTACTACAGCAACACCCACATCAGGGGACGTGACACAGCTACTACAGTAATACCTACATCACGGGACGTGACGAAGCCACTACAGAAACACCCACATCAAGGGACGTGACACAGCTACTACAGCAACACCCACATCAGGGGGTGTGACGAAGCTACTAAAGATACACCCACATCAGGGGGCGTGACGAAGCTACTACAGAAACACCCACATCAGGGGACGTGACACAGCTACTACAGCAACACCCACATCAGGGGGTGTGACGAAGCTACTAAAGCTACTACATACACCCATCATCAGGCAACACACCCACGTGACGACGTACTACAGCTACTACAGCAACACCCACATCAGGGGACGTGACGAAGCTACTACAGAAACACCCACATCAGGGGACGTGACGCAGCTACTACAGCAACACCCACATCAGGGGACGTGACGCAGCTACTACAGCAACACCTACATCAGGGGACGTGACGAAGCTACTACAGCACACAGGGGACGTGACACAGCTACTACACATCAGGGGACGTGACGCAGCTACTACTACAGAAACACCCCACATCAGGGGACGTGACAGCTACTACAGCTCCTACAGCTACAACACCCACCCATCAGGGGACGTGACGCAGCTCCTACACTGCAAACACCTAATCACACCTAAAGAACATCAGGGGGACGTGACGCAGCTCCTACAGAAACACCCACATCAGGGGACGTGACGAAGCTACTACAGCAACACCCACATCAGGGGACGTGACGTGATGCAAGCTCCCACAGACGCAAACTACCAACAC